CACCGCGATTTCTCGATCACTTAAATCTTGTCACGTACTTCTAATATCGTAATGAGCTCTAAAGCCTCGGAGACATATTTTATTTCCTCGCAGACACGTTTTATATTTCATTCCACGTTTCATAAGCGAACTTCGGCGGGCCCTCTCTGCGTTTGGCGGCCGTAATGCTTCGCTCGCTTAGTGCACTTTTATTACGGTATTAAGTGATGTAATTTTTTTCATATTATGTTATTCAAATTTAAATAACTGTCTCCGGTCTCCCCCGCGGAGGTCCTGTTCACAAACGATTCTTCTATGGCCCCCTTAAAATCTGGTTACTTTCGTTAGACATTTCCGTTTAGTACAATAACAGTGTAGAGTGGCAAAATATTCTTTTTGTCATGAAAATCAATTTAAAACAATGTGGTTAGTTGCTACTATCGTAAATCACATATTTTTTTTATTTGTTTAGTAAGCATTTTTTTATGTGTTTATTTCACATGTTGTTTAGTAATTCAATTTAAAGATACTTTATGTTTTATACATAACCGGTTAGTACCTAACAATTCACATATGTACGTTACGAATAATCTTAAAATTGGTAACTTAGTACCTCATCCAAATATTATTTCAGAAAATACATATGTTAAAGGAATTGTTTAAAAAACATTAATAGATACTCTACGCATTTTCTTGTCCTAAACTTGTAGAAGTTGTGCGGCCGCAATTTTTACAAATGACACGGTGACGTTTATGCAGAGGGCGCGGCGGTCGCAGGGCTGCGGGAGGCGGTGGCGGGGGCGACAAGTCATCATGTTACATCTTCCTATTATTTTTGCGTTCCTCCGTCCTACTTCCGCTTTAAGTGTTTCCTCCTTGTCATACGATATTGATTGCCTAATTTGCGTCCGTTTTGCTACCTTTGGTAGGGTGGTCAATTTCTTGTTTTTTGTCAAGATATTAGTTTGAATGTGTTAAGGTATAATTTATATCGGACAGAAATGTTTTTTTTTTGTTAAAA